TTCTTCTTCTTCTTCTTCTTCTTCTTCTTCTTCTTCTTCTTCTTCTTTTTTCCCAAGACAGGGTTTCTCTGTGTAGCCCTGGCTGTCCTGGAACTCACTCTGTAGATCAGGCTGTCTTCGAATTCAGAAATCTATCTGCCTCTGCCTCCCAAGTGCTGGGATTAAAGGTGTTCGCCACCACTGCCCGGGGTACCTTCTTCAAGTCCCAGTATCTTTATCTGCAGACTGGGCCACTGGGCAGGGACTGTGGGGTAGAGCACTGACCCCAGATCTGGTTTCCCTGGCCATTTTGCATTCAGCTTGGTTCTGTAGTGTCAGCTCTTCATAGGAGAGAGATGGTTTTCTGTCAAATAATAGCTGAATTTTTCAGCCATGGCCTGTAGCCAGTGCACCAGAAAACACTGTGTGTGTGTGTGTGTGTGTGTGTGTGTGTGTGTGTGTGTGTGTAGACGGACAAAGACACAGCAAGACAGCAGGGACAGGAGAGATGGTCACCCACACAGGTTATTGACTGAAATGTTCATTTATAAAAGAGTAATGTTGACAAAATGCTTTGTGTGTAATCCAGGGCACCTGGCCTGGCATGAGCAGCCATCCTTGCCTAAGGCCTGATAGAACTAAGGCGCAGACCTGGAGGGAAGCAGGCAGAGGGTCTGAAAGCAATTATGGGATTTATTTTTGGTCAGGGTTTCACAGGTAGGATTTCTCAGTTGGAGACACAAGAAGCGATGGAATCACTAAGAAGGATGCCCTGGGCAGGGTTCTCTGCCCGCCCCCCTGTAATGGGCTGCCTGTGGCTTTGAAAGGCAGGAAACACACAGGGTTGAGGGCCCTGTGTCAGGGGTGGCGGGGCAGAGCAGGGCTGTTTACTACTTGCTCTGTGGCATTCTGGAAAGGTTTGGGGTTAGGTAGAAAGGCTGGTCCACTCAGGACCACGCTCCTCATTCCTGAATGGTCCCTGAGCAGCTTCCTCAATGCCTCCACCACCCGTGTACCCATCAGCCTTTGCAGGGACACTGACATCTGTCTGTGATGTCTGCACACTGATTCCAACTGCTGTTAGACCCACCTCCCTATCCTCGCTGTATGGTCCACCCTGGCTCCTGTCCCGGATCATCCTCCAGCTCTCCCTCTACCCATAGGTGGGTTGATCTGCACACCAACCCCCCCAAAACAGAGCCCAGACTCTTGTCCATTTGCCTGGAGGCCCCTCTCTTGGTTACATATCCTTCTTTCACCCCCTTCCCGGCTCTAATGGCCTCTTAGGAAGTGTTCACTCTATCTCTTTTATTCTATTATTTTTAATCTTTCCATGGATGGTACGATACTCAAGTGTAGGTATGCCTATTTGCGAGCGTGGCTCCCCACCATGAGTGTGGAG